TAACCGTTTACCCAACTCAAGCAATTGAATCTCACTAATGGAATATTTTTACCCGTTTTTGCAACATTTTTCATCGATGTTCCGCTGCTACTGGTCGTTGCGTGGTAATATATAGCCTATGGCCTTCCTCGATAAATGCACTCTCCAATACAAAAATATTTTTTTAAATCGGAACAGCAGAACAATTTTGTATTCGGTACAACGGGTCCTAAACTACGCAACGAATTTTTTACTTGGAATGAAAGGTTTATAGTTATTATGAAGAAAGTCATTGTATATAATACAAGCCTTTAAACAAAAGCTATAGTCTACACTACAGCTCTACACCGAAGTAAAGCGAGGGCGGGCCACTAGTATACATATATTTATTTAAAAATAGCAATTTTCCTGTCACTGTATTTCTGAAAATATATATCTCCAACGTCGCATTTGAACGTAGCTAAAGAATAAATAACAAGACAACAATAAATGAATATGAATTCCTATTTTGTAGAATGCAAGGGTGTCTAATGCAAAAGGCTTCTAAAGAACACGGCTTGATTTATTCTATTTGATTCAAACATTAACGGCTAGATTATTATCCAGATTCAATTTTCATTAAGATGACTCGATGCCGTAGTATATAAAAATATATTACAAGTAGTATCATTATCATTAAGTCATTATAGTCATAGTCATGGGAAATAAAATGTTGTGGTTCGGTATGGCAATACAATTTAACTCGGCTTTTTCATTCATCAGACCATTAGGCACTGATAAAAGGGATTCTGGTTTTGTGCAATATAAAAAAGCTAATCTGGTAACACTGGTTCAAAAGTGATTATTTGCTTTTACACATTATTCTTTAACAATGGCTGACCACCGTGTGAATTTGCATTCATAGTGGTCGAAAATAAGGAGCATTATACCGAGCAGCCGCAACTTCAAAAAAGAGGAGGTTCTCAATTAATCCTGATATATTTTTGTTATTGTTGTTCGCGCATATGTCTCTGAGATTAGTGCACTGATTTTGATGATTTTTTTTAAGAGTCTTAGCGAGTTGGTCCCTTATTAATTTGGTAAAAATATGATGGTACTCATCAGATCTTCGGGTGTAAACAACGAAACTCCTCGATTACAAATTACACACATCGCATTTGATTATTTTACGAAATAAAAGAGAAATTGCCGGCTAGGCGCCTATACTACAAAATAGTCATAACAGAAGATAATCTACATGCAAAGTGCGCTCGAGCAACGCACACATAGACACCACTCTCGGACACGAAATGTTGAACCACTCCAGACCACCGCGAGCGCGAGTGTCATCCTCATGAGACACGCGTCTGTGATCTTTTTTGTGCATTAACGGAGGAACAAAAAACAAATAAATATATCTGTTTAGTAGAAAGGTTGTTTGAAATCAACATTAAGCAGTGAATTGTCATTTATTTATTTTTGTAATATAACAACAAAATGTTAGTGTAGTGCTATAATTTATTTGGTTAAAACTACACAATATCTAAAAACTTAAAATATAATTATCTTAAAATTATCTTATTTTTACAACAACAATAAAATTTAAATGATGTAGTTATATTGGATTATATTTCCTTCTGTTTCATTATCGACAATAAATCAAACAACTAGATACGAGTGCAACTACCGCGATAGTTTTTTGTGCATTAACCAATGTTAGCAATCGTAGCGCGACCGCTGAGCGTAGGTATGCAAAGCGAAGTACATACGACCTCCGTGGCCGAGTGGTTTGTACGCCGGGTTTGTTTCATATTGTCGCTGACTCGAGAGGTCCCGGGTTCGAATCCGGTGGGGGCAGATATTTATGTGATGAATACGAGCATTTGTACTCCAGTCATGGATGTTTGATATGTATTTCTATATAAATATACTTATATATGTACAGTTTATGTATTCTATCCGTTACCCTAGCATCCCATAACACAAGCCTTACAGTGCTTACTTTGGGGCTAGGCTAATTGGTGTTAGTGTTGGAAATATTTATATTTATTTATAATTTATACATGGGATTACCTTCTGTTATGTCTATTTTGTGCCTATACTTAGTAAGTTGATGTTACTCTGGCTTATGAAAAGTGAGAAATAAAAACTTTTTAACAAAAATAATACTTCATAAAAACGAAACCACTAAAAATAAAGAATTAATGCATTTTCTTAAGTCAAATTACTATTTAATCAAATCGATTTTTATTTTTGTTGAAAAAGGTTTTACTCGGTAAAATTACAGCTTCCTTAGAGTAAAAACTTAAATTTAACGAAGCATACGTAGTTTGGCCTGAAAAATAAAAAATATTATTATATTTATATAATGCATTTAAACTACACTTAATTTAAAAAAAATCTTGTTATAATTATTATTTTTAAGTATGTTTAACTGCTCGATGATCGAATCTAAAGAGAACTTTTTCTTGTTTAAACTATTTAGAATTATTTAACACACAAGAATACATTACGTTATTCTTCTTCTTCTTCTGAACGGTGGGAATTTTCCGCAACTCGACACCATGTGCCTATTTTGTGTAAGAGAATAGCCTAAGGCCCGTATTATAGAAATATTCTCAGTGATTGATCTAGTCTTGAGAATATCAATGGGCCTGATTCTGGCATTATTATCTATATAAAATTAAATATTAACATTGGTTAATTTTGATCGTGCTTTCCTAATATTGAAAAGGAGAGACTGATATCAAATATATTTTCTATCACATATATTTCAAAAAGACATAGTTTGTTCTCTATTGACAGGGACTAAAATAGCGTTTTTATCTCTAAGCAATAGTCTTCCTTTCAACCCCTAAGTTATTTTAAAGGATCTATTCAGTGATAATCCACACGATGGGTAGACGATGAAAAATAAATTCATCCCCGTGTTACATAAAGTGCTACCCTAACTTTTTGAAGTTATACTTCTTTAGGCGCGTTATGAAAAAATGATGAGAGTGAAATTTTAAGATGCGCGCGCATCACTGTAACACAAAATTTTAACAGCATGAAGTTTGTCGCTTTAGCGACCAACTTCATGCGTTACTTTTGTGTTTACCGCACATTAAGAAAATCTACCAACAAAATAGAAATAGAATCTCTATTTAGTGGGTGCTAACGACTGCATTGTGAAGGCCTATCAAAAGTATTTATTAATCTGGAACAACGGAACCGAAGCGCGATTCAGAAGACTACAGCGCCATCTCTTGACCATTGGTGTAGTAGAACCAAAAACCACATCTTTATTTTTTGTAATAAAGTAACAGTTATAGGTATTCATATTTATAATATTTATCTTCATGTTTCTAGTTTGTATATTCGGAATACGTGTTTGAGTTTCATACAAATGCAAATCATATATGTTCTAATAAATTATATTCAGTAGCGATTTTAATTGAATATTTTGATTATTTATTTATTTTTTCAAATTAAAACTGAACTTTATTGACTGTGTCCTTTTCCAGACCTTTTATTAATTTATTGTAATTAATTATTTGCATGCAATTAAAAACTAATTTTAAACGATGCCAAAGAAGGATAACTTCTCACGCGCCTACATAAGTACACGCACCCATTTTTTTTTTATTCTATCACTTTGTCGACATGATTGATGTATACCTCTTCAAATTGCAGCTCTCTACAGCCATCAGTCTCCAAGCAAAACCTCGGAGGGACACACAGATGGACATGACGAAACTATAAGGGTTCCTTGTCAGGACTGCGTAAACTTAAAAATTAGTGTTTCTTTCTCAAGTAGTAAGAATGGAAGTATTATATTAACTCGCGCGTAAACATAGTATTAAAAATATTTTTGCTGCATTTACTTAATTTTATAAGAAATCTACTTTAGGATCCCTCGCTATACTCCGAACTCCAATAAGCCCTTTCGCCTTTAAAACAGTTCTTTGCTCCTTTAGTGTCGCCGCACACGGGTCACAACCACAAAACGCCGCCACCGGCATGTTTCCTGTAGTTTTCATACATTTTATATGGACTCGCCGCACACGTTTAACGCCGTTGGCCGCCACACGCTACAAATCGTCGTTGCTCGCTTCTTGTGGCCCGCACCGATTCCTCACCTTCAAACCTTCTTCGTCAGAGTCCATTATGATACTGCACGCATGTGTTAAAAAAAGTAGCAACCACCGACGGCAAGTGTCGACCACCGGTAACAAGTGGCTGTCGCGTGCTTCAGCTACCTTAGTAGCCGTTTCTAGCTTCTCTTGCTGCGTTTGTGGCTGTCGCGTGTGGCCCGTGTGCGGCTATCCTTAGTAAACATCTACTATTATACCACATCTATCCAAAAAGAGCTAGTTGTTCTCTGTTAACAGGGTCCAAAGCGTTTTAAACCCGAAGGACTCAAAGTGTTTTCAATTAAGATTGTGGATATTGTTTGTAAAAGTTTCAATCACCAATGAAATCAATAAATCAGATCTTATGAACGTCACAGGCTGAAAAAAATGAAACGCGCGTTTGTCAAATAAAAAAAAAGTTTGTGAAAGCGTTCTTATTGTTTACTCAAATTCAGATTTTATTTGCTTTTATAAGTCTTTTTCAAGTTGTGGACGCTACTTCTTTTGCATTTACATATTTTCTCATAGAGGGTGAAAAAAAGTACAGGGTACTGCGGGAGCGACTCTATTTTAAAGCTCGAGGACCGACATTGAATTCTTAACTACTACTTAACTAGCGCAAGATCATTAACCTACAATGCATTTTAATTATCACCTAGTCTTTTTCTCTAGAGTAACGATGTCCACATGTTTTTCTACAAATCGTCGTCTAAAATATATTTTATCTTATTTTACATCTAACATGAAACACTTGTAACGAGCGATGCGTTTGAAATGTCACCTTGTCGTGCCTCGCCAATCCTGGCGAAGGAGTCTCGCAATCCTTAAAAGCCACCGTTATCCGTGACGCGAAGGCGCATGCAGAAGGCGTTGCACAACCTCTGTGGTAACTAACCTCGGATCCTTGAGTTCGGTTTAATGATCACACCAAATTAAACACTGCTTGACGTGGCCACTAGTACACCAAGCGTTGTATGCAGCGAACGTCTCAAGCCGTGTCGATAAATCATATTTTTTACGTGTCAACGAACATAAACCACAATTCAAAATGGACGATTACCTAATAAGACTCTTTGTGATCAGTTTGTTTTACCATTGCAGTTACCAATTGATACCTTTGCGTGAGTATGGCTAAGCGAATTACATAAGTGATTGTAGTATTTACATGGCTTTCGAGTAGTTTAGTGGGTTCAATTCTCGTATGAAGTTAATATGTAAGCTTTGTTATTGTAGTTTTCTAAATCTGCTACAAACAAGGTCTTGGATTGAGGTTTTTCTATATTAAAGAAATATTATGAATTTCATATTATATTTAGTATAGTTTTTTTGTTCTAAGTTAAATTTGATCAACGACCTCTATTTTCTAATGAAAACTGTGGAAAGTGTCAGAAGTTTTGCTCATTTCTTACCGGTTCTTTTGAATTTGAATTTATCTCACATAACTTTACGACTTCCAAAATTAACAAACTATAAAATTTTTAAAGACTGAATAAACGTCATTTCTTTTTTGTAAATTTCTGCGTACACCTCATTTAATCAATTGATACACACTTTTCAACTCGTCAAAATGTATTTGAATTCTGCAGAGTTTAAATACTGAGTTTTAGGTCGTTGCTACTTTAATGGAGGCAAAAATGTTATCTGAATTAAAGTATGTTTCGTTTAATTCAACTTCTACTTAAAACATGTTTTGGAGAATCGAAATTCGACACTGCAGCCGGCATTCATTACTGGGTCAGTTAGTAAACTCGACTCGTACTCGTATGTGGTTGCGACAATATTGAGAAACGCTCACGGATAAGTAGACACACACGCGTTTGCACTGCCATTTCGTAAAAGTTTTAACTATCGGCCTAGCAATAATCAAGATGTATTCTATTGATTACAGTTTGAATTATACCGTTTTGGTCTTCACGTCCTGTCTTTTAGTGTTTTCTTCAAAGAAAAAAATAAAAAATCCTCCATTTAGTCGTCATCGTCACCAATGCACGTTTTTGACAGCCCTAACCTGACTTTAAAAAAATCATCCTCCCAGCCTTGCTCACAGTAATAAACGTTGTTTTGCATAAACCTAAGCCTAGAGAAACTCACGTCCTTAGACGGATTTCAGTTAATTATTAGAGAAGAAGTTGTTATTCATCAATTTAGTCGACATCATCACCAATGCACGTATTTGACAGCCCTAACCTAACTTTGAAAATGCATCCTCTCAGCCTTGCTCACAATAGTAAACACTGTTTTGCACAAACCTAAGCCTAGAGAAACTCACGTCCTTAGACGGATTTCATTTAATTATTAGAGAAGAAGTAACAATCACAAAATCGTAATAATAAGTGTGACCTTCTTGAAAAGCTTAAATCCTTCTAGGCATGCTCTCTATGATATTTTTAATAACGTCTTTTGAGATGAGTTTCCAATTCCTTTGCAATGACTCTTTTTCGCTCCCTGATGTCTTGTAGAGCTGGTCGTATGCAGAGATATTACCCATCTACAATAGATCTTTATATCCTGGAATTTTCCATCTTTGAAAATCAATGCTACAGAGCATTAATGACGTTAGTGAAGGTAGTGTCTTAATTCAGGACTTCCGTTATGACCTGTACACATTAAATTATTATCCATTCCTACAAAAGGTAACTTCATAAGTCCCGTTAAATTAATTGCTGCTAAAAACAAAACAGAGCCTCCGCCATATGGACTGTTTATTCAAAACACACAGTCATCTGCATTGCATTCCTATTTTTTATGTTCGAGAAATGCGTGACGCGTATATCACCTCTGGGTGAAAGACGAGGTTATGTGGAACTCCCGCCAAATTCCACCTACCCACTCAGCTGGCACATGGGGCCGGCTCAATGGATACACAGGATTAGTTGCATTAGCATTCCCCTGATCTTCGCAACACTCCCCGTCGTTGATACTCAGCGGATGATAAATAAATAAAATATAGTTATATTTTTAATTTTTAAGCATGTAACTGCTTGATGTTTATGCCTTGCAGCTTAAGAATGTCTAGGAGAATTTCGACACGGCGATCAGGACCGCGGTAGCATAATTGGTCACTGCATTCGCCCGGATTGCGAAGGGTGCGGGTTCGAGTCCCGTCTGCTGCCTGGTCCGCGTAGAATTTTTTTAAGTTATCTTTTCTTTAGCTTTAAATAAAATATTTCTAAAACTCACACCATTTAGCCTATCCCCAAAGTAAGCACTGTAACGGCACAATTACATTAGGTTGTTAGCCGGTAATCGGGTCCACGAAAGACATTACTCGAATTCGAGCACCCGAAGCAATATTTACTCTGGAATACAAGCTGGAAGACGGTGTCGGGTAACCAAAACGAAAACTACCCGAATACTCGACTACGTTCATTTACACTTGGTCGTTTCCCCGAATTCCAATGGCAATTGTATTTGGGCTAACGACCAAGTATAATTGAGCCATAAGGCTTGTGTTATGGGATACGAGGATAACGCCAAAGTAGACATATATTTGATACATAACATATATTTTTTTATATATGTTTTTCGAGTGTATAATTATTGTATGTCCATTTCTTCGGCATGCTCTAGAGCCTGATTGACGGATTTTGACATGCGAAGTGTCATTTGATTTTCCGTGATTGTGTGAGTGACACTATAAGTGTATTAAAAATGTAAATGGCAGATTGTTGTCAGCAAAATGAAACATCTTTTTAAAAAATTGCTATTAAACTAAAATAACGAAAATAAAATATTAAATAAAAACCGCAAAACTTGAAAATGAACTCTTAATCAAAACTTATAAGAAATAAACCAGGGTTCAGAATTTAACAGTTGGGACCCATTTTTTTCCAATCTAGAATATTTAATGTCACGTGACAATTATCAAAATCTTCCTTTCTATTTTTGATTTTAGTAATATCATCAACTATTTTTTTTCTGGAACAGTGAAATTTCTCCTAATATTGATGTTACGTCATACCAATTATTATTAGTACTTCATTTTTCATACTTTCGAATAGCCTACTAAGATATTAACAAAACTATTCATTCTTGTCCAGCTGACTTCATCCACCCATGCTACGAGTTAACCGACGAGTGCTTCACCAAGGCGACGTTGGACGCCATTCCTGGTGTGGTGAAGGGTATACCCGAGGCCGGCATCCCGACCTTGGACCCCCTGTTCATAGACAAGAACATCAGCATAGAGCTGCCTGGAAACTTGAAGATGCAGTTCCATAACGCGAAGCTTATTGGGCTTAGCACATGCGTGCCGAACAAAGTCTCGTGAGTTTTTCAACTATATATTAAATATTAAGCAATTAATGAATAATTTGTTTGTTTCTTAGGTTTTCACGCACATCACTCATTAAATAAAACTGGTTTTTAACGGGTTAATGCACGAAACTTTATTTATTTATTGACGTTTCGCAGCCTTGTCAGACTGTGAATAATTTGTTACTTGCACTTATAGTTTGATGTCTGATTTCATGACATTTTACCATGAAGCTAAAAGCAGGGCTAAAAGAACGACCTTGCGATTCATTTGAATGTAATTCGTTTTCAGAAGACTATGGCAGTCCCCGTCTCTCATTAATGAGAGATAGGGCATAGCGGATTCCGCGCTCGAATTGAAGCGCCCATCTGGGGAAGTAACCTCCACCTCACAGTAAAATAACACCACCATTTTTGGCAGTGTTGTGTTTCAGTCGGTGAATAAGATTCCAGGTCTCCACGGAGTAGGGGAAGGGGTCAGAGAAGGCAACGGTACGAGTGATATTTTTGGTATCGCAAGCTGTCATAGGCCGTTATAGGTCGTTATTGGTTGTAGGCCATAGGCGCTATGGTAGCCGTTTATCATCAGACGGGCCACACGCTTGTGTGCCACCCTTTGAACATAAAATAAACAATTATAGTATCTGCCATTCTTTTACATTAATATTTCGAATTATGATAGTATCATTATTTGCAACTCGATAGCGCAATGTTAGCATGCTCAATCTACGACAATGGTGGTAAGCTACAGAGAGAAGCTGTCGCGTTGCTAGCTACATCTTTAAAATAGCCTTGAATAATATCTGAACTGCCATCCACAGCTCTGTAAAATGATTCATCATCAATAATCCAATCGTGATTAAAAACACATCAATCACATATTATCTTGTATACAAATTAAATACGCTCCTGAAGCCGGGGTTCTATTTATTATCAAACACAGCCAGTACCGGTCAAGGTCTACCCGGTGTGAATTGCTAACACCGGTGCGCCGGTGTTGCGACCTCGTTGCGACGCACGCGCAACTCAACCGAACCGCGTGCGCTTGCGAACACTCTATATGGGCGTCGTTACAAAATAGCAATGCTCAGTGTTCACGGACAGTTATGCTTATATAGATGAAAATTATATGGGCAATTAGTTGTTTTTTTATTTCCATTTAAGTACCTAACTGGACGTGTTAGGAAAATTGAACGAATACCTATAAAATTGATCGCTAATAGGGTGTCTAATTTCGTGGACCAAATAAGTATTGATTGTTTATATTTTCTGGTTGAGGATATAGGGAACCTTTCAATAATATATAGATATGTTTTCGAATAATATAATAATTTGACCACATTCTTTACAGAGTGATTCTCGAGTCTTGTTTTACAGAGGGGAAATACAAAAGTGTTTCAGTTCGGCAGCCAGTTATCATTTCTCGGAACTTAAAATTTAATATACTCTAAAATAAATAAATAACTATTTTCAACACTCACACCAATTAGCCTAGCCCGAAAGTAAGCACAGTAGGCTTGTGTTATGGGATACTAGGGTAACGGGTAGAATACATTTACTGATACATATATAAATATATTTATATGGAAATGCATATTAAACATCCATGACTGGAGTACAAATGCTCGTATTCATCACATGTGCCGCCACAGGGATTCGAACCCGGAACCTCTCGAGTAGGCGACCGACGCCTTGAAACAGCCGTACAAACCACTCGTCCACGGAGGTCGATAAAATATCTGGTGAATCGATGATACCATGGATAAATTTTAATAAAAACATTATGTCAGAAACCGTCCTGCGCCTCTGTAGAAGGCGTAACCCATTATGTGTAGTGCGAGTCTAATAAGAGCGAAGTTGTTTACACATGCCATCTGAAAAAGCTAAGTGTTATAAAAATCTTTTTTGCAATAGTTCAAATCTGTTAAAGTGTATCTGGTACCTCAGATTCCGAACAGAAATGCAGAACTTTCTAATACTGTTCACTATACTGTTATAGATAAGAACAGTGAGTGAAGTTCCTTCAGAATTTACATCTAACGAGTAATACACCCAGTTAGTTTGGATGATTTTTTGACAATTGATTCTTTATGAAACCTGAAACTAAGTGAACTGTTCATGATAAACAGTTCCCAAATCTCTAATTTTTAACCTCTGTTATGTGGACGCCCTGAATAAAGTACACTATACCAGATGTGTGTCTTTCGGATTTTTTTTTATGTGAAAGCTAATATGAAGTTCCATACCATTGCGTCCACACCATTCAACTACATTGTTTATGTCTGACTGAAGGATCTGACTGATATCTTCTGAACTGTTCATAGCTCGGTATACTTTTAGAATGTTGGCATATATTGAATTTTATTACTGTAGCTATATCGTTAATAAATATTAGAAATAATAAGGGTCCCAAGTGGGATCCTTGTGGCATACCAGAAGGTATAGTCCTAGCTCCAGACGTTTGTCTCGTCTTTTTACATATACAAAATATCTTTTGACTGATATCTATAAAACACCTGAGTGATTTCTACCCCTATTGTGCAGGTCACGCCGCGAGAAGCGCCTGTTCCTATTCGACATGCACTGCAACTTCACAATTCGCGGCCTGTATAGTCTGCGCGGGCGCCTGCTGCTGTTCAACCTAGATACAGAGGGAGCCGCCAAGATCAAGATCTGTTAGTATAGCATCTGTTTGCAGTCCAAGCGACAATAGACAATTGGACATTCTATTTGTCTGTAAGATTCATAGACCTGAAAAATGAACAGAGCGTTCACTGTGCAACTATCAGTTATTATTTACTCCATGGTTACATAAGCAATAGTGTGAGAGAGATAAAGCGATGTTACAGCTGCATTTCGTTTGGTTCAAAATCTTTTTAATTTGTTTTCCTATTCAACTGGTTAAATCCAGTCTGATACCATATCCGAGCTGAAGTTCATTAGTTATTTTCATCATTACTTTCATATTAAAATAAAAAATATAAGTAATAAAACCATCTTCTTCCAGGGAACCAACACATCCGCTTGGACGTCGTTGAAAAGGTGGTCCGCAACAAGGATGGCGAGGGGCACTACAAGATCAACTCGTACAAATATAAAGCCGACTACGGCACAGATCTGAAGATGAATCTCACCAACCTAATACGAGGGAACCCGGAAATCAGTAAGTTTTTTTTTATGTAAAACAAGGCGGCAAACAAGTATGTATAGTTTGTGCCATCCAAACTTTATAGCGGTTGTGAAGATAGCAGGAAGCACTACTAGGCGCAGATTTCAGTTCAGAACTCACGGAGCGGCTCTTTCCAACACCAAGCGGCCCGAGAGCTGTTCTATTTCACAACTGACGAAATATATCGCGCCGTGAGTTTAAATCGCTCTTTAAGCGTTGCTTACCTTAATACCATCCCCTATACCGTGGCCAACCTGATAGTAGAATTCCCGCAAAGCTAAGATAAATGCTTGCGAACCACGGGTTGACATTAATTGATATATATCAGTGAAGAAACCTCTTTCTTTTAATAGATTGTTTGTTGTGCTCCCAGAAAAAGTAACAGCTGACATTATTCATCAAAATTTTAAGCGAGCTACTAAATAAAACATAACTACGGCCATTACAATTGCAAGTTAAATAAATGCTTGGAAAAATATTAACGAGCATCTTATTGATTCTGCAATGAATGCAAGCAAACCTATTTTCATGGATATAACCTCAAACTCATTTGATTAGAGTTGTTTTTTATTTGCCTAGACTCTAGAGGAAATAGAATACTGTGTACTTAAAACAACCGATGGCCATCAAACATACCTCGTCTGTTTAACATACACGATGCGTGTAAGCAAACCTTCGGAACCCATAGCAATAATAGTATTGACAATGTCAAACTTTATCCACCAACGCGACTGAGTATTCTATGTATAATCATAGTTAACTAATCATATAGTAGGAAAGCCTAAGCGGGGATTTTGGGATTTACTCGAGCGTGGCAGAATAATATAAGAGGGGCAACCATGCACCTTGTGAAGTACTCCCACCATACCAGAGCATTTTATATGAGGTCTAACGTATGGGGCAGCAAAAAAACATTTCTACAATCGGCCATGATTTTTAGTCGCATCGAAATTATTGCATCGTACACTATGGAAACCGGCAGATTATTATATTTCCGTCATCAGAAACTTTACGTGACTCTCTACTCCTACTCTCTACTACTGCTCTCCTCCTAGTTCCTTTTTAAAAGGCTGACGATTTGGACGCAACGAAAAAACATAGCCGATTGTTTTTTTTTTTTGCTGATCTAGGAGTTCAGCCCTATATTAAGTGCTCAGGTATGATAGGAGTACTTCACAAGGTGCACAGTTGCACATATGTTATTGTGCCGCGCTTAAGTAAACCCCATAATCCCCTCTTGGGCAGGGGCATTAGTAGAGACCAATAAAGTAAAAGTGTAGTTATCTTGTACTAACTACATAACACTTCTAATATAAAGAAATACAGTGCACTATTTTTTTATGTTAATCTAAATAACTAAGACGGAAATTTGCCAAGATCATGTTAAACCCAACAAGAACCTATTGCCAACAAAATAAAACGTTGAAATTTGGTTAAGAAATCGCTCAGTTAAGTAAACCTGTTTGAAATTTTGGTCAATGTAAAATAAAATTGCTCGAAAAAAGATTTCTGCATATCAAACAAAGTAACATATAGCAACAAGGAAGCGATAGTGATAAACACTACATAAAGTACATTGAAATACTGTTGACAATAATAAAGAATCGGATATTATATAACACTGTATAAAATCTAACTTAAAACAAAGAGATGGCGCTGCCTTGCAGCTTAAGAAATACTAGAGGAAATTAGACTCGGCCATTAAGGTCTCGGTAGTAATTGGTTACTGCGTCTCTCCGGATAGCGGAAGACGCGGATTTGAATCCCGTCTGAAACCTGGATCGAGTGGATGTTTTTCGATGAAATTTTTCTTTAGATAAAGAAACAGCTAAATTTTTGTATTCTATTCAGAAATTATGTATTAGACGCGACCGATCCAAATATCGTACATGTTGCACCTTCAGTGCTCTGCCACCCCACAATTAAATGGATTGAATATAAAATAGGTATACAGAGTTGCACCCAGTCTTATGAAGTTTTTTCAATACACTTTCTTTTGTAAATGTTAAGATGTGAGACTTGAACGCGTTGATGTCTTATTCTCAACAATATAAAAAATTAACCCGTACACTACTACTGCGTTAGTATGCCAAAAATGAGTTTTTTGCTCGATTGCGTTTGTAAACATGTTTTTAGGAAATCCACTCTCGTGACAAAATTGTTGGGGCCCTTTTCACAATCGAATCTACTTATTTATCACGTTAAAATATAAAAATTACCTTTGATTATATACACGTCTTGATAGGGAAATCCAAAATAAACCACGCAAAGTAAATGGCTCAAGTTACGCACAATGTGTGCGTGACTCTTATGTCAGATTGTTTGAAAGCAGTCAATGTGTGCGTGCAGAGCGACCCGTGCAGTTAATACGGTATCTAGGCGTGTATCAAATCAAACGAAATGACATACAAATTTAGAAGAGTTATTAGTAACATTAAAAATTATCATGTCTTTAGGCGTGTTCAAATCTTTCGACAACGCCCATGCAAAAAAGTTAGATCACCCGCAAGGGATCTACCTAGGGGAACCAACTTTATCGACAAATACAGTGTGTTACTGAAAAGAAAATTGCATATCAATCACTGCTTTTCAGGAAAAGTATCTTAATGGCGTTACAATAAAGCAGCAGTGGATCTGTAAATAGCTCGATGATTATGACTTCCATCTGTCAAAACCAGTTAGCGAATAGGCTTGCTGGTCTCTCTCAACTCTAGGTGGTTGTGGTAAAAACGCAACTCTTGAATGTTGCGAAAAATGTGATTTACGAAATATTTCTTTCAATATTTCCCTTCTTCCAGGTGCCAATCTGCTTCAAGTTCTCAACAGAGACTCGCAGCTGTTCGCCAACGAGTTCGGCGGGCCCATACTCGATTACGCCATCGACTACGCCATGAATGTCACGCAACGCTTCTTCGACGCGTATACGTACGACCAGCTCAGCCCCATACCTCTCGGAGACGAGTTCTTTGTCAAAGAATAGTGCAAATAAACCAAAAATTAAGACTCGTACTATATAAGATATTACTACTAAGTACTAATTACGAAAATGTAAATTACTACTGTTGCATCTATGAACGTTTTAGGGTTAAGATAAGTTATGGTAAGGTAGCTTTATAAGAACTCGAATAAATGCTATGAATTTTTCATGAAAAGAGATTTCTTTCTCAATCCTCTTATTCTAATTAAGTATTCGTGTCGAGTAAGTACTTTCACGGATAAGACAGTAATTTTGGATTCATATCGGAGATGTAGCAAGACTCCTTAGATAGAGTACGCTTAGATCTTTTCAGCTGAACTGCTGAACAATGGATTTTAATGCAGTTTGTCAAGAGGAAAATTCGCATTATGTCTACTGTCTAATGTATCTAATACATGCCCGTGAAAAAAATCTACAGACTTCACCAAAGCAAAACGAGGGCGGGTCACTAGTATTTTATATTTACATTTACAATCTGATTTTCACTTGTAAATATTACGTACTCTAATACGCATTTTTAGATACTTTCGATATTATTTTACAAGTCTTAATAAATTTTATTCATCATCATCATCAGCCTATATGTCCCCACTGCTGGGGCACAGGCCTTCCCTATGAATGGAATAGGGAGATTGGGCCATGATCCACCACGCGGGCCCAGTGCGGATTGGAGGGTGCTAACGACTGCAGATGCAGCCGGGACTAACGGCTTAACGTGCCTTCCGAAGTACGTAGGAACTCGAGATAGAAGATTTTTGGTCACCCATCCAATGCCCGACCATTGCAAATGTTGCTTAACTTCAACGATCGCAGCCGAACGCGCTAACCACCTGTGCTATCGAGCTCCACAAATTTTATTACATGACGGTAATTAAGTATTTTTTTCTTGGACTCGTCACTATTCTTGTGAATATTTTGCAAGCCCAATTTCCAAACTCATTATGTCACATCCGCACTTAATACAACAGAGTAACTGCAATTAACGGTATGCAATTCTGACGGGTAAACAACAACACTTAAAAGAACCTTAATACATGGTAATAAGGGTCCTAATTATAACAGAGACTTGTACGCAGGTACGCATGACATTGCGTAAATACTAAGTAACTTATACAGGCGCATGCTTAACTAAAGAACTATGCAGAAACCACTCGAAATTATGAACAGGGTGTGACAATGTTATAACATGTAAGGGCGGAAACGAATTATTGGCATATTAACCTAAAACTTAATACAAATGTGTCTGGGGGTGGAGCTTATTAAAGTTATTTAGTAAAACACTTTTTTAAAAGGAGTATAGAGTGCAATTTATGTATTTTTTATATATTCTTGAGGTTTCTTTACAGGTTCCGTAGGCACACGATCACGAAACCTGCCGTGCTTTTCTGTAAGAACAATCTCACTTTTACACTGCGGAATTCACCGAGCTCTGCGGTGTGATTTGAAATTAGAACCCGAATTTCTAATCACACCGCGGAGCTCTTTAAAAAGTGATTTATCAAACGATTAAAGTGCGTGAAAAAAAATAGCCTTTAAGTTAAATTTTCGAAAGAGTTCACAGCAGAAGTAGGTAACCATTACCATAAAGAAGAATACAGTTTTCACTAATTCTTTAGGCTAGTCTTAACAAAACCAGATACTTATTTATTTTTATCAAATTAATGTATTGCTACATAAGTTAGTCAAAAAATAATCAAAACGTGTTAATTCGTTTATTGCAGAAATCCCCTCTGGTCATTTTTAGAGTTCTGTAACCAAAGGGTAAAAACGGGACCCTATTACTAGGACTCCACTGTCTGTCTATCTGTCTGTCACCAGGCTGTATCTCATAATCCGTGCTGGCTAATAATAAGTTAATAATTTCACAGACACTGTTAAAAACAAAATAAAATATATACAACAATCGTGATTGTTTGCCATTATTTGCTCTATATTAATAACGGCAAGAGATAGACGCTTTAAATACTCACAGAATATTTAGTTTTTTAAGCACTTTAAAAATAAATAATAAATATTTAAGGTGGCTCCCATGCCAGAGACGTGAGTTTTTTCCGTTTAAGCTCAATATTATAATATAGTGTCTAATGTTATATAGATGGTACGAAACCCTCTGTGCACGAATCCGACTCACACTTGGGCGATTTTTAATTAATTTCTGATCGCGGGTCTGCTGGCGCTACAGAGGTTTTAGCTGATATAATCAAATAAATTCTTTAGTGTTATATTTCCATTAGTGAGCAAGAATACCAAAGTTAGACAGAACATGGGATAGGGTCTAGGGGCTGTACTTTCATACTTAAATCGTGATTTTTAAACCTCCTACAATAGTACGAAACAATTGTGTACGTTTTTTAATCGTTTTCTTAATAAACTCTTCTATGTCTTTATCTATAATATCTAATATATAAAATTCTCGTGTCATTGAACTACTCCGAAACGGCTCGACCGATTTTCGTGAAATATTATATGCATATTCAGTAGGTCTGAGAATCAGACAACATCTATTTTTCATCCCCCTAAATGTTAAGGGTGGTCCAACCATAATTTTCTTTTGCTGGACATTTTTTTTTGTTTTTATTTTTTTATGATACATCATATAAAAATACATACCACCCTAAATTTTTAACCCTTCTACCACCAACCCCTATTTTTTATGGCGGTACGTAGTTCGCTGGGAAAGCTAAAATAACTCTACCTATTAAACACGTAATTGTTCTTGTCCTAATATATCTCCAATCTTGTCTAATAAAAACCTCAAGGTATTTGATGCAACGAAAGTATATAAAAGTAAGTGACATTAATGCAATTGTATCCTATAGGTCCATTAAAATTTCAGCGCTTCGTTTATACATTTAAGATAGGTTAGTGATAGTTCTTTGGTCCTACACTAAAGCTATGATGCGCGTCCACCCACACTAGCTTTCACTGAGAATCTGGTATACTACCGAAGGGTACAAGAACTATGGAACTATAATCCACTCCTAGATATTGTATGTATAAATAAATATTTTCATACAGAAGTGAGACCCAATTTTCCTGGCCAATGATGATAGTTTAATAGACGTGGTAATATCGGAAACTACATTGCACCCACAGATATAGATCGAAGTAGATATCAAAAATCATTTATTCAGTCTAGGTTGTTACAAGCACTTGTGAAAGTCGAGAAGCTATAATAATAATAGTTTATATCTCTTATTAAATTCTGCACCCAACAATAAAGATATGAGTTCATAGTCAAGGCAATACAGAAGTTAACCCCTTGCTCCCGGCTTCATCTGATGTCGTAATTACTCACGAACCAGTTTCAAAAACCAGCATCTATGGATTGCTATAGTTACCGCTATGTAATTCTTTCCTTAGAGAAGACGTATGGCACAGCAGCGAAGACATTAATGGGCAGACGGTGATGATAAGGGAGACTGTATCATGGTTACTTATTTTTAAGCATCTACAGAGTGACCTCTATAGATGCTTAAAAATAAGTTGCCTATCTGAATAACCAAAACATAAGTGCTAAAGCGCACAAACAAACCAGCATTATCTACTGATCACCTTTTTTATCATACACTACTGGTGCCTGCGGTTTCCCCCGCATTAATTTGAGGAAAAAGGTTATAGTGGGTCACCCTTAAAGGGCATATTCTGTTTCAGACTTTATAAAGAACTATTAAAGGGGAACAATCCCGTCATACATGATTTTTATGTCACTTCACCGTTTACGCAACGCACGCAACGAGGGCTCACAAATGGAATATTTTTTCCTGTTTTTGCAACATTTTTCGTCAATGCTCCGCTCCTATTGGTTGTAACGTGATGGTATATTGTAGTAGAGGTGGCGGCACTGGTTGAAAAAAGTAATTAGTTAAAAGTCAAAAGTTGAATGAAAATATCAATCAGATAATGATACTGGTTAAAAACATCATTTAATATTTTTCACGACGAGTTGATTTATTGTCAATAATTTCATTAGTTCGCTTTGTGATTGAAATTATGAATAACGATAATTTTATCACAACAATTTTACATTTATCTATACGAATAGATATTACTCTCGTGTTAAAACCAACATGAATTGAATGAATTTTATTATTCGGTATGGTTGAAAATATTTATCGAATATGTGTTATTTATATGTGTTATACGGTTGATAAATATATTCAAAAACACTAGTAGCCTTCCTCGATAGATGGACTATCTAACACATTTTTTTTTCAAACCAAACAAATTCTACAGCTTTATAATATTAGTATAGATTTTTACCAAACGCAATTGACGATATGGGAATTTACCTCACTCGATCGTTATGAAAGTGACGCCCGCGCACGTGTTGTAAATTTGGAGCGATTTGCTCGTTACAGCACCTACCCTGGTAATTGTACCTACAAGCTACAATACGGAACCTTGCATTTCAGATTGATGTTACAACACAATATATCATGGAATGGAATAGATTATGTAACAAAGGTAATAGAGTAAGTTTTCAGATGGAAACTCGATGATGCAGTTCTAATCGCTTTCTGCCAGTTTACAAAATTAGGTAGTTAAGCTAGATAAAAGTTATCCAATTATTTTAATGGACAATTCAAATTTTATAATCACTCCAGTAAAACATTATTCGACTTTAAATTGTACAACATCTAACTTTTAGAACTCCCAAATAATGTCCGAATAAATCAACCGATTAAACAAGCCATACAATTACAACTCGAATATTTCATTGGTATAACCTTCGCGATACCCATAGAAACATTATGCAATTCTCAATTTAAAACAAACTTTTTTAAATAACATCGGGGACTTCGTAGTTTTCGATTCGACGAAGGAAACGAGACATGCAAATACGAAACTTATTTATTTGTATTTGGGTACATGCTTACCGTCTTTGCTATTTTTCTAACGAACGTTCGAAAACCAATTTGTTTATGTCAACGACTCGTGGAAGGCACGCGATGGAAGTAGGCCGGGCGGGACGGGACACATAAGTAGTCTGAAAAGTTAGATTACCATTTTGTATTCATGAAAACGAGCAAAACAAACGCAGGCGGGGGCGACGACCCCGCAGCAGTGATGATCGGCAAATTAATGAACCGATACCGAATCGCTGTGCGTAAATAGTAATGAGTTTATTTTTCTGTTTACGGTCGATTAGACGC